GAGGGCCATGCCTGCAGGGGAGTTTGGGTCTATATGTGTATTCATGTAAAGCCTCAGAGAAGTGGGTTAGGACTTGCTGGGATTTTCAGTGGATCTCTGTGTCATTCCTCTAAGCTTGTCATAATTGACTGACTTGTGAGTAGTCTTTGGAGGCTGTGAGGTAGGTGTGTGATCATATTATCCCAGAGATTCCGATCCCCATGGCCAGCCTGGTAGTTCCAATTTGGGTCTGTCCAAGGAACAGCAATGGCTCCCACAGGCTCCCTATTATTTTGAGCATGTACCTGAGCCGCCATCCAGACCTGCTCCCTGTACATGGACTGAGGCAATTCCTTCCATCCCAGCCCCTTCATGGAAGGGTTATAAAAAGTTAGAGCTGAGGTGGGGTTGTTACCTGAGGAAGGGGGAGAAGGGGAAGAGTTGGGCTGAGGACGAGCATCTGGAGGCCAAGTGTGGGGAAGAGAGAGAAATGTGGAGGGAAGACAGATCAGAAGATTGATCCGAGTCTGGAAGGAGAGCTTGAGCATGAGCTAGGAGAATTTGAGACATAGGACAGTTTTGACAGGGAGAAGAACATGTTCAGAGATAGCAAATGGCCTGAACAAGGAATGTCTACAGCTTTTGCCACTTTGGTGAGTGTCTAAATCGAGTGCCATCTTGTAGCCACTGGGATCCATTGTAATGAGGTGTTTGAGTCTTAATGTCTGTTTGGAGGCCGAGAAATTGGCCAGGAGACAGCCCAGAGGCATAGAGCACAGAGTACAGTAGAAAACGAGATGGGACGTTTAGGTTCAATGTCTCCCTGAAGGCCAAGAAATTGGCCAGGAGATGGCCCAAGGGCATAGAGCATGGAGGTTTGGGTCGTGAGGATCCCATGTAGAGGGTGAGAAAGGGCAGTCAGTCCTGGTAGAAGAAGCGTGCCAGCAAAGGGCGTCCCCTTTGGTGCCCACCTTCTTTTCAAGTGAAAAGCCACCAACTGGCTAGAGGAGTGTCCTCCAATAGTGGGGAGATATGAGAAGAGTTCCCTTGGCCAGGCACCTGGGCTTCGTAGAGACCTGAGTTGTAGAGAGTAGTCGGGGAACCGTAGAAGTAGGCAGGACAGACCCACTGACTCACCCTGAATTGAGGCCAGTGTTGGATGTGTTGGTCAGAAACGGCAAAAGGAGAGAGAGTCCCGAGTGTACCCGGTTCTGGCAGGTCTGGGAAGGGTGGCCGGGGGCCAATCCCCCCAAGAGAGAGGGGATCATC